CAGCTTTCTGGAAAAAGTGACTGAAAGTCTGAATTCTGTGTTGTCCCCAAAGGTGTGGGTGGGTATGTGCACAAGTCACAGGGTGTGGTTACAGCGGGGTTAAGTTTGTTGGATGTTAGGCAGGAGTCGGTAGTGGCTGGTGCCTGTGCTATCAGCAATGTAAATAGCAGGCGCTGCGCCCTGTTGTTGTCCCGCTCGTCCTGGGGCGCTAGGAGTCCAGTGGAAGCGCCCCTGGAGCATTTGCTTGCCCTATGGAAACCTGGTTATGGAGACAAATCCAAAGAGCTCCATCACGGACTACTAGCCGGTGACATACCAGTCTATGCTTTTTGTTTATTCTCTGAACCAGCTTACTATTAAATCACAGAAAGTAGATATTGAAAACTAAATATTTATCATGCGTAGCTGGTTTTTCCTAAGGTATATCTGCTTGGTTTTGCCTAGTTTACAGCAAGCTATATGCTTGAGGTCTGAAATTACCTCTTTTGAAAATATAAATACAAAAGCAAGACTCACGACTTTAATAAAGTGCAAAGCAATTTAAAATTTACTCATTTATTGTAAAATGAATTGCTTAAAAAGATGTCTGTAATTTAGATAAGTATTTATCACATCAAATTAAGTAATAGCTCTAATCTGTTGCAGCCACATCTGATGTCCTTGGTCATTATATTTGGGTTTATATAAGAGAATCTAGTTTCACCTATTATTATGGATATTGTATTTAATATTAATGTAGCAGTAATAAGGTGTTTTGAAAACCTGGGATAGACCTTATTATTAAAAGGAAAGTAATTTAAATATTTTCCTCACAAAAAATTTAATTATAAAAGGGAGCTCTTAATCCTGGAAGCTGTTCTCTGTGGGCACGTTCTTTTTTCCTGTGTAGAAGCCTCCTGACTTGACTTTGTTTCTCAGTGATGACAGAGTTGCGGTGCTGTCGCTTATCTTGGATTATGTCGCGTTCGTTCCCGAGATACAGTCTACTCAAATTATTTAAAAGTTATTTTATATGTAATTGAGATTCTATTAATGAACAAAAATTATGTTTTAAGTAAGATGTAGCATGTTGTTTATTAAAAGTACACATCGACAAGTTAAGAACCGTAAAACAAAACTCAGGTCAATTATAACAGAGAGAACTTAGTTTCTAAGTTAAATATATTTATTGTTAACATAGAAATCTATTGCTTGAGTATTCTTTTAAGAAAATAAATTTTCTTATGTCAGTTTTAAACCTGTAAATAGTGTTATAGATACCTTAGGCACGTGCCTTGGCAATAATGAATTTATATACTACTATATATTTACAGTTTCCTGTTTTGTTTTGTTTTTTGTTTTTTAATCTTCTAATGACTGAATAACATTTTCAGTTCCATTATGCAATATACCTTTAAGATGTGTGGTAAATACAGCATTTACTGCATCCACTGAGTCCTGGAGCATTTTTAACTGTTATATTGTACTCTTGAGAAACTGGTTTTCTTAAAAACAACATTGTAGAAACTAGTTTTTTTAGTAAAAGTCTGCAAGTATGTGTGTTATCTCTGAAATCCACACATGCTCTGACATACTGTTATCTCTCTATTTCTCTCTCTCTCTCTCTCTCTCTCTCTCTCTCTCTCTCTCTTATATAGCTGTTAAACAAATCTCTGGCAGCAGATGGCTGGAATATAATGCACGGTTAAACAAATAAAACCATTAGGCATGTAATACCTCCTGGTAAACAACTGTGCATTTAAAATGGTTAAAAAGTGTAAATAAAAAATAAACTTCATTTTAGAATTCATTTAATGAGATTGGAGTAAAATACAAACCCCTTTCAGACTACACAAAACATCTCTTACGTTGTGTTTGTAATTTGAAGTTAATCACTTTTTTTTTTTTTATTACATTCTTGTATCTGGTATAGGGTAATCAGTCCTAAATCAGATTTCTAATAGATGTCTTCTACAAATAATCACTTATTTGACATTTATCTTTGAAGGAAGGTTTTTGCTTTTGTCATATTCTGACACAAAATTATCTGTTGCATTATATGCTCTTTTTTCGTATTTTCAAATTTTATACGTATGTATTAAAATTATAATTCAACGTGAGTATCATGGCTCTTTAATTAAATTGTTTTTCAATAATTGTCAGCCGCTGAGAGATATGCCATTTTGTCTTTTTGTTTTTAGATATGCCAATATTTGGTCTTTGCCCGGCTCATGATGATTTCTATTTGGTGATGTGTAACCACTGTAATCAGGTCGTAAAACCACAGGCATTTCAATCACATTATGGTAAGTGCTTAACTATTTTTAATAATTAAGGGTGAGGTTAAATCAGGATTAAGCCTGGCAATTTTTAAAAAAGTTGATGGTATGTAGATCATAATATTGGAAATAATGTCAAAGAGCATAACCTGTGTTTAATCATTTTATATATATAGTGATGCATTTATGCAAAGGTCTTGTTTCTGTGAATTTTTTTTAATATCTTACAGAAATACTGCCTCGGTACAGTTCCCGTTGGAGCTGGCCTGTATGTAGCGTATTTCACAGCCAGCGTGTGTAGTGTGTTTGTGTGTGCCATTTCTCATGCTTTAACGTGAGGTTCGGTTGCAGTGCGAACGGTGAGCTTGAGCTAAAAGCTGAACTTACAGGTTTTGTTGTGAAAGAGCAAAGAGCTTTCAAACATAGTACGCTTCCAAAGGAGCAGTAAGCTTATTTATTTTAAGAAGTATCAGTTTGTAGTTGTTTTAATGGTGAAATGATTTTGTATATAAACTGTACTAGGAAGCTCTTGTTGTGTTGGTTAGTGTTAGCCAGTGTTTATAGAGGCCTGAGAAAATGTGAAGTGCTATACAAGTTCAAGTGCTCTATTACTTCCTATAAAACGTATCTGACAGAGGTAGGCAGTTCTTTTCCTTGCTCCTCTTAAGACTGGAAATGAATCTCAGACAATTTCATATCAGTGTGAGGAAGCTTTTAGCATTTAGCTTTGTTTCTTGAGAAATTCAGGAGATGTTTTCAAACCAAGCACTAATACAAAAGATGGACAAAGCGTCTTTTGAACTAGTTCTTTCTCCCTCTGCGCGCACATACTTTTAAGTTTTCCCTTCCTCGTAGCCCAGTACACCTGCTGCTTGCCTCAGTGTTTACTAGGGTAGAAAGTGCTGAATATGCATGGGGAGCCGCCTCTTGTATTGGAATTTTTTTTTCCCTGTATCTTAAACACTCCTGCCTCTTGGCAAGAAAAGACATACTCGCTTCTGCTGCTTGCTAGAGACTGGAAAAGGGTCTTCCCATGCTGCGCAGAGGGTGCGCTTTTTATCCTTTTCCATCTCTCCCTTCTTGCTTTTTTGTGTGGTTATGCCTTACGGATTATACCCCTACCCCTGCTGCCGGATTTCTGGAGCTGTGTTGCACAGAGTGACTCTGACTCACAGAAGAATCTAATAGGTTTTATGACATACTTCTTACTAGTTTCCTTGTTACTCTGTGGATGGCAGTAATAATAATAAGAAGAAGTCTTTAAGTCTCTAGAGCAGTCGGGAGGCCCGAAGGGGCATATGCTTCTCTTCCTGTGGCTGCTATGAGCCTTTGTTCAGCTGAGAGCAAGTCCACCCCTTGCCAGTCTGACTCCTCACCTGTCACTGAATATCAGTTTGGGACGTCCAATAAGTCCTTCTAAAATATCATATTAAATTGATTCTGACAGTTAAAAATAAATTTATGGGGGAGGCCTGGATGATGCCCAGTTTGGAGTTGTTGGCATATTGAATCTTCCCTCTCAAGGTCACTAATAGGGAACGGGCTCAGGCTGGTGGTGATGGAGAACTCTTAGCGTTTGCAGATTGCGCCGTCTTTCTGAAACCGGTTGGTGATCTCCGACTAATTTCTCACAAACAGGTGTCCATGTTATAGGAACCGTTATCATAGTTGTTGACATGACAGCCTTGTCCACAGATCGAAGAAACAGTTCAAGAATCGAGTGGGCACAACCTTGAAAACACTGGATGTCATAATGCTACTTTTATTGGTATTAAGCTTATTCTGAGAAATTTATTTTATTCTAACACTGTTATTTCAGACTCTTCAGTAAGCATTACTTGTAGTTTAGAAGGAACAGAGCAAAGGAAGAATTACAAAATGAAGGTATGCAAAATACTTTGAAAAGATTAAAGAAGAAATACTAGTGTAATGTTCTCATTCTGTATCCCCCATGCATTGTAGGAGCATAATCTCTAAAGTACCCGTTCAAAATATTAAAAACCCTTCTCTGTACCGTTAAGCTATCAGCAGTAGATTGATGCTTTGAGAGAAATGTAGAAGGAAGGGATGGAAATGACAAGGTTATTCTTAGTATTTCTTAAGCCTCTTATGAACAATGAAGATGCTAAACAAGTGCTTAGAAGCTGGGAGAGGAAATAGGCGGAGTGGTTCTAATGAGAAAAACAGCACTGGGTGGAGTGTAAATTATTAAAAGGTTTTAGTTTGCCAAACTAATAGCCTCAAAAAGGTAAAAGGCCTGGCTTTGCTAGCTGTCCTCTCTCTCTTCTTTTTTTTTTTGCCCAATCAGTCTTTGCATTCCTGAAACCCTTATGCAGTTTTTTCCTCGTTTTAGCAAAGTATTGCAAACAGATGATTGATTACCGATCAGCAGTGTGCATTTGTATCTAGTGTACTCAAAGAGAAGGAAATTGCTGAAGTCTTGAAAACATACGGGTCTTGTAAAACAAAAAGTACATTCTTGTCATAAAAAGACAATAAAAAATTCCTTGAGTTTGTCAAGTCATTTTTCCCTGAATTAGGTCTCTTGTTTGTGGCTTTATTCCAGGGATTTAGAAAGGTGAGATTATATGAACAAATTCTGAAAAATTACAGTGCATCAATAAAGCCATGCCTTTTTGTAATGTTCTTGAAGCCTTTTATTTTTAAATATTGCCAGAGAAATAGTGATACCTTAAAACATTATACAACTCTTGGTGTATGTGTTGCTTGTGCTTACTGTTCTTTGAAATTTGTCAGGTGAGATTTTGTTTTCTGAAGTAGAATGTGCGCTTTTAAAAGGTTACTTTTGTCAAAGTAAGGCTAAACAAACAATTAACTATACCTAATGAGCTAATTAATTTATTCCAAGGCATAGCTGTGATAAACTACTTTACTAGGTGGGCTGCGAGTGCATTGTAGGACACACACTAGCTTTTTTCCTCAGACCAGGTGTAGTCAGGAATACTTTGAATGTAATCTTATTCATCAGATTATTTAGCCGTTTTACTAAAATATTTCATTTATACAGAAGTCTGTTAATTGATTTGTATCTAACCAATACTTCTGTATTTCATGTTTTTTATGTGACTAGAAGAGATCTTAATCGTAATCCAAAATTAAATTCTAATTTTGAGGCAAACTAAGCTTGTATTTTGGGATATTGATTGCTATTTTAATCATTTATTCTATACTGTATTTGTCCAAATTTGACCACCAGAACTCATTTGGATTTGTAAAAAAACGCAATTGGTATTCATAACGCCATGTGAGAGGTTGAAATCTATCAGCAATTTCTAAAAGTGCTCTAATACAGAGAGTCCCCCATATGGGGACTGCTTGTGATGTTTCTTCTATCCAGAGCATTACAAAATTTCATAGTCTGCACGGTGAACTTCATACAGTCTTTCTTAAAAGAATATCCAGCTTGATTTCTTCTAGTCTAGCTGCTAATCGTATGTTCAAGTTATTTTACACTTTTGGCAGAGGGTAGCGCTAGTACAGCGGAGCTGGAGAGGCAGGAGCAGCATGGCGAGCTGGGGAGGTGCTGGCCTTTCAGAGAGGATCATCCTTGTGTTTCATCTGCCAGACTGTGCAGCTGATTGAAGTCCTTTACTGCGAGCATTCTTGCTGCCTCTTTCTGAACGGTTACTTTTTCGTGGTATCGGCATCTTCCTTGCGTGACTCAAGTTCAATCAAAGATGAAGGACGGAAAGAAGGTGTAATGTTCAGGCATTCAGTCTCACTGAATGATGAAGCCCCTGAGACCTCTTATCATGGTGATCTATTCTGAAAAAAGAGTGTTTTTCTCCAGTTGACAGTCCTGATGATACTGCACCTGCCTCACCAACTTCCATGCCATATGTACTCTATATTTTACCTGGGTATATTTCTTGACGCTCTGCAGATTGCTCTTTTACTCCATTAATTTTTGTGGTAAACTTTACTTTCTGTCAAATTGCTAACCGTCACACTGCTTAGGACTACGTCATCGACAGCTAGCAGGATGTGCCTATATTAGGACTGACATTTGTTTCTTTTATTTCCTCTCACTTTTTCACATGAAAAATGTGCTATACGTGGTTCCTGTACTGCAGCAATAGGTTGGTCTCTGTGGAAACCACAGCTACAGTTCTTTCAGCTTGTTCATGAAAACGCCAGAGTGACGTGGTTGTTGGGCTACGTGACCTGTCAGCAGTATTTCAGACCTTCCACTGGTTTATCCCATCGTCCCCTGGTCATCAGCCTCCTCTCTGAAGAGAGCTGCTTCCCTTCGCCACCTGGGCTGGTTTGCAGCAGAGGAGGGAGGAGGTAGCTCAGTAGTGTGGAAGTGAAATGTGATTGGTTTAGAGCTATGTGTTTTCTTCTCTCTGATTTTTCCCTTTTTTTTTTTTTTTTTTTTCTCCCCCCACATTTGACTTGTTTTTGCTGTGCTCTGGTTTCCATAAATATAAAGTGAGGGTTGTATTTCTCAGCAATTAGTTTAAAAGCATTATCAAGACTACCTGTAAAACTTGCACCGATAGCATCTGAGAGTCGGTTAGTGATTATGGAAACCATTAATAGAGTAAGTGTTGGAAAGAGGGAATGATACAGTATCAGGCTGTTGAGTAGTTAAAAAGATATGTCTAGTGTTTTGGTTGCCTTTCGTAGGTTTGGCATGCAGCGACAAAGGCAAATAACTGCTATGTTGAGCTTTGTGTCTGCTCTTCTGTGAACTGGTGGGGAATCTCTTAAGCGTTTCATTTTCCACTCGCTGTTCTTCTAAACCTCGAGTATGGGGTTCAGAAAAGAAAGAATAATGCAAACGGATTTGTGCACCGTTGTGGTTTCTAGGAGGTTCTGAGTTTGGAGGTGGAATGGAAGAGGTCGTCATGCACTCTTACGCGCAGCCCCACGAGACGGAGAGGGCAGACTGGTCAGTAGAGAAAGCTGGACGTTCACGTTTGTCACTCAGGCTGACTACTTCCTACACGGACTCAAGTCACTTCCGTGTAATAGTCTAACCTTACTCCTCTCTTTCTCAACCT